CTGTTTCGCTAAAAAAAATCATGTTAGCAGGCTGAACTTCTAAAACTGCGACGCCCACAGTTTAATTTGTAATAAAAGCGTGCGGCTCGTTTTTCTAAACAGTCGTTGCAAGATTACATTGTGGGTTAATATGTCTAAGCTTGTGGATGGAACACCTGTGGTAACATCCGTTTTAGATTGGTCTCCTTTCGCTAGAATTATTTCAGTTATTCAGCTGTTTCTTAAGCATTCCATGATTGGACTATTGTGCCTATCATTCGTAAATGCGTAGCTTGAATCCTGCGGCGGAAATCCGTTATTTCGTCCACTTTGTAATCAATAGGATGGTGAGTACTTATTATCAGCACAACTGTTTAAGTGCTGCCTGATATGTGGTTTCGGGTAGAAAACAGCCAGAACGAGGTGCGTTCTTAATGAACAAGGCATTTGTTTCACAAAAATATATACATCCCGAGAATTTCCCATATCAACGTTGAAGAATTGGTTGATGGTCACAAATGACAACCGATCCATCTTCAGAGCCGAGTAAAGGTCATGACAACACCAGTTTCACGCATAATTTAGCCCTTCAGCCGTACCCCATGTAATTACAGATGACAATGCCAAAAGTTGGAGCAGTTCGCAGTCGTCTCGCTTGGCCGTTAACGATTGCTGGTGTGAGCACTGCCTTGGTGATAGACCATCTGATCATGACAGCAAAATTGTGGCTGTGTTTTTTTTCTCTACAATCAGTAACCACAAACAGTAACGCAGCCCCCCGCCGAACAACGGTTAATGTCCACGTGACGTAAACTCGACTTTGGCCTACGTAGATTCAGTGACAATGCGCACAGGATATGCGGTGGATAGCACTCCACTGTCCTCACCGCGCTGTCTGGTCACCGGCAGGTATTCGACGCCAATACTGAAGGCTCAGGTGGCACGTTTTTCGGTCGCCTCAGCACCAGTTCGTACCTTCTTTGGCGAGTTCGTGAGGATCTGGCAGAGGAAGAAGCCATTCTTTCCGGACCGATCACGTAAATAGCCTGTCGCGCCCACTCCTTCTTCGGCGATATTGCAAACCTCAAGAGTCCTAATGAATCTTTCTTGATACCAAATAGAGGATGTATGTTTATATGTGATTGTTGACATCTCAACAGCTGATCTCTCCCTGGTACAGAAAGACTGCGAATGCAATATAGACCTTCCGCTTCTTGCAATAGACACGCGCTAACTCACGAGGAAGTTGCCTGAAAGTTCTGTGCAACGAGACGCAAGCTAGTCTTTGGCAACAGACGCTTGCTTGCTCTCGAAAGGAGGTCTCCGGGCCTGATTTATGTTTGGGAGTACTCTCGTTTGCTTTTCGGACAAAGGTGTATCTCTCTGTAGTGTCCTATCCTAAGGAAAAGCATATCTCAGTTCAAAAGGGCGTTTTGCAAAGTGTGTGGGCATATTTTGATCGGCTTACAGAGCTACGCGTAAGAATCTGACCAGGTCATTGAAATAGTTTTAGATGCAGTCTGGCTGTCAAGCTTTCTTAAGAGCACTGTTTTGCAAATGCACGCAGAAGGCGATGTTTGCATTCTTCAAAAACGTTCATATGCGCTAAATGTGATGATTTGTGAGATTCGTTTAATTATGGAGACTTCAGTAGTAACTTGCAAGCAGACACGTTTGAGAGTACGTAATTGCACGCCAAACTATACTAAACATTTAAAAAATTTGTTAGCCATGGCCGCTGATTTCGTATTCAAAAATAGGCATTGTCTAAGTGAATCGGCTCGTCGAAATTAATGCAGGATGTTGGGGGACACTCATAACTGATGGGTGTCGCGCACACCATGGTGTTGAAATTGACCTTGGGTGGTACACCGGCGATTCCGTTCTGTCTTGGGGCCCTTGTGTTGCCGTTCACGTACGTACGTGTAATCAGTGACCAGGGAGTGTAACAGGCGATGTAAGGGAAGCAAAACTAATCGTCTCTTATATATCGTAATCAATTGGTCATGCCTCAACCTTAAACTCGGATTTCTGCTCGCTTTTGAGTAACAAGCTGATTGCCTTGTCATCGAGTCACGTGGTCAGAGACACCACGGTGCAACATCGAGTCCCGTGGTTCTTCCGGACCGTTTTTATGCGTGTGTGGTGGGCCGTTCGTCTTAATTCTTTCTTGCATCCAGGTTCAGGTGGGTGAGGGAGGAGAGAGTGCAGTAGATACTCTGCAAGTCCGCTCTCGTGATAAAGTAATCTGCGCGAAAATCACCGTCCTGCGCCTTCACCACGTTGTGCTCCACACCGTCGTTCGCGACGGTCGAATTGAACACTGGTGGTGGGAATAATCCACAGTTATCTACTCCAGATTTCCGTGCTAAATGACCATGCTGTTCAAGGGCGTCGCTTGGGGTTCCATTCACATTACACGGAGTATCTGCTCAGGTCCGTGTATGAATTCTGTCGCCGAGTGCAGAGTTACAATTCCTGCGATGGAAATGCCCTAGGGGTTAACTGGAAGTAGACCACAGTGGATATGCAGTTCGCCTCGTCAACTGTCTCGTGGCGACCAGGAGTCACCGAGCGAGAAGTGCTACCGCTGGGTTGTCAATTAGTCGTACTCCTAACACCCAACCGCGGTTTGCAAGGACCCGGCTCTTGAAATCGGACTTATGTCGCCTACTGTACATTAAACCACACGATTCGCGAATGCGTAGTCTCCGCTCGAGCCCCGGCCTCTCCTGGGATGCGCTTTACTGGTTTATGATGGCGAACGAGCCTTGTTAGTATTATGTTAGGGATATTTCTTTGTCAGCAGTTCGTGAACTTCAAAGTCAACATCACACAGTATATGCTGGATCTCGTACAACAAGCTTACCTCCCAGTGCAAGATAACAACATCTGCATAGGCCGACGATTATGTCAGCGAATCTTCAGTTTCCAACTGTAGTACCCCTCACAGACTGTCTCGAGTAAATTGATCTGATTACTTCTTAGTCCTAGGAAATGAAGAATATTCATCAAGTATTCTGCTTGCATTTTCTTGGTCTACTGCCTGCAGACTTTCAGTGATGTCGAGCGATGGCCGATTTCGGGAAAGATTGCAAGCATGAGACTCGATTTTATGCTTTCAGTTATTCTAGTTAGCTAATTCTGAGTATGTCTGGTTACGTATATTTACCCATAATAAGTTAGCTTGAAGCTATTTCTTCCCAGAAGCACCACCTGAGGGTGGTTTGTGGTAGACCGTTTTTTTAATTACTTGCATTGCCAAAATGTCTTTTTCTTTTTATTAACTCAGATCCACTGAAGTGGATTGGAATCTGGATCTTAACAAGGTCTTCCTTAAACGCCTTCCCGAGGCTACCAATGAATGCGATTTGCATGCATATTTCTCTAAATTTGGTCTCATCGCCAACGTCGTACTGAAGGACAGCATGGGGTCGGTCTCTGTCCGCTGCGGGTTTATCACCTTCTTTGAAAGGGACTCGGTGAGGAGGGTGCTTGATACTCAACCACATCTGCTAGGCGAGGATCGGATCATCGCTTGCGTGGCGAGGAAAAAACAGTCGGACCACCAAGGGTAAGCTCTTCGAGTGGAAATGCGGTCGATTCCATCTCGGCTACAAAGACGTGCACCGTTCCTGGCCATCTTTCGTCTCTCCCTCCCCCTCTTTCGCTTTCCCCATTCCCCTGTCCCTTTACCCCTCTCCATCTCCGTCCTCCCCTCCTCCCTTTCACCCCCTCTCTCTCATCAAAGGCGCGGAAAAGTCAGCGTAAACACAAATGCCCCTTTCGGTTAGCCGGTGACGGTTGCTGCTTGCCTGGAAATGGTTTTCGAGTGTTTAATACACCAAGAAGACCGCGATGTGTCATCAAACTGCCTTCTGGCAAGAGCTCCCGAGATGCCTCTGCCTTGCCGTCCACTTCGGCAATAGCTCGGCTCGTCACAACGTTTGCGCCAATAGCCACGTTTGAGTCGCATGGCCCTCCGTATCGGTGGTGCTTGTCCTAAAGCTATATTTTGATACTTCAAAGTAGAGCACAAACAAAATGATTTGAAAGAAGTTGAAAATAATAAATGAGAAGACCAAGGTCAGATTGATTATTGGAATTTATGCATTTCCTTGACGAATTGTGGCCTATCCCGATTTTATGAAAAACACCACTCACTTGCGTCGTGACACTTAACTCCGTTGGTGTTAAAACACTGTTAATTTAAGGCAAAAATGTGCACCGGGCAACGATACGTTGTGTAACCCCACTTTGCAACTAGCAGCCGTATTCTCTAATACAGGGATTGTGGAAATAGGGGTTTTACGTATGGGGGATCACCCCCTCAAGCCAGATAATGTATCACGAAGAATATGCTAGAACGACTCGGTTCACGTGATTATATCAGTGTGCTAGGCAAGACTGAAGTGGTGAATTCCTGTAGTCACGAATTGGAGATCTAACCAAGACTTACTAAGACAAATGTAATAGCTAGTCGTGCATATCAAACATGGTGGGGTTACACAACCTATTTCTATCGTGCACGGTTTAGTAGGGTCCCGGGTTTTGGCCATTGTTTTGCCATTTTCTAAACTTCTAAGGTATGTTCGCTGTAGAGTTGCATATTAGTAGATACGGGTGGTGGTTGTTTATGATGTGCAACGTGTCATGTTCGCCCGTGGGTCGTTTACTTTCTACCTAGATCTCATCCCTTTGATCCATGGATAAAGTTACGGCGAAGGGAACTTACGGTGACCCTCATGGCACCACATTGCTGCTGTGGTGATCGGTCGCAACTCTTGGACGTCCTGCCTAATCTATTTGACCCACTAGTACGCGCGCATTCGAATCAAGCTTTCTTACCCTAACTGCTGGCCAATCACTCATATCTTTGTCCTGACCGAAGTAAACCAATGCGCTCAGGCCGGCTCAGTTCATGTAGGTGCTGCGTTAGCCTTAGGCGTATGACGCAACCTTGCGCACTTAGGGGTTCTTATACAACTTCTCCTTCATGGGATATGTCCAGAAGTCGTGTTAGTTTAAGCAATCAATTTACATGGGCCTGATTTTTGTTAGAGTCCCTCCTGATTGAGCTTCACGTTAGAACTCTAACATCCGATAGGACATGGTCCCGCGCGACCGATTCCCACGAGGAATTTAGCATGATTCAAACTCATTTCTCACAGAGGGTCATTCGCCAATGGAATTCCTTGCCGACGTATGTTGTTAATTCTCCTACCGTGAGTGTTTTCAAGGCACAACTGGATAATCACCTTCCTGAAGGCAACGCGAACTGCCGAAGTCCAATCTGGCGAATTACTGAGATGACTATAAACAGACTACTAGCGTGATTTCAACAGATCCTTTTGTGGGCATTAAACGTGACCTCTGAGAGAATTTTCACAGCGCCAACGCAGTTAACAATTTTTCCGCAGTTATTTCGCAAATGCCATGCCTTTTTAACATTTATGTTCCACTGGTAGATCTGTACATTCTGCACACTAAAACTGTGTGCAAAATCTTTGCAATTTAACCATTGTCCCCACACACCAGTACCGTTTAAAATAGAATTTTCAGGACTTCTGTCGTTTACTCCAAATATACTGTGTGACCCATATATCCTAGACGTAACCAGACTTCAAATTGCGTCGGCCAGCGTTCAGCGGGTTTCGACACATAGTATAAGTTGTCGTGCTGACCGTGGACGAGCGACGATTAGAGGATGCGAGAACGATGTGCAGAGACTTCAAGTTAGCCATTTGATGGCCCTCAATGAAACAGAGGCCGACTGTCTAATTGGTGTTATTTTACTCCGCAGATCTGTGGACCCCGGCGTCTCGGTCGCTGACAACGACGACGGCGACTTTTCGAACTCCGAGGACGACCAACCGAGCAACGATGCCTTCTGTGACCAGCTTACAATGTTTGTTGGCCACTTGAAACAAGAGATCACTGAATCGGATCTCACAACCTACTTTTCTCAATTCGGCAGAGTCACAGATGCCTCAATAGTACACGATTGGGCCACCGGCGAGTCTCGCGGCTACGGTTTTGTTACCTTCGCTGACAGCAGGCTTTCAAGCGGGGTGTACTGAAAGCCTGCCATTTCCTCAAGGGCTGTCGCCTCAGTGTCAAGCTCTCAGTTAACCGTCTTCTGTCTCGTACCCCCACCGTAACTCCTCCACCGCCGTCAATGTTAAGTTTCGGAAAAATTAGATTTATCTTTTGTCACGCATTTACTCATTTTTGGGATGTTTTTATCCCACTTGGCCGTAGTCAACAAGGGTATTTTCCCACTAAAAGCTACTCAAACTTCTTAGTCACGCGGCCGAGTAGGGTCTGGGTGACTTCCAAACAAAGGAAGGATTTGCCAATTCAGGACTATCTGTGTACAATGAGTGAGCGACCAAAATCCTGAGATGTGTATTCGATTTGGAAGGATTACTTAGGTGCGGTTATAGTATTTATTATCATGCAGCATAATCCTATAAGATTTTGGACTCGCTAGGAGGCCGGCTTTTGAGTGCATTTCTTCTTGACATCCTGTAGAAACCACACTCGGCAAAAAATAAACACTTAATTTGCATGCATTTTTCAAATAAATTATTTTTATATATTAAAATATGTTTTATAGAAAACATGCACAAAATGCCTTCTTTTACAAGTTTGGTAGAAAATCACGCCCTCTTTACAGTTTATACTCAAAAAAGGATACCTTTCGGTTTCAAGAAGGTTTCTAAAATGGAATTTTTTTAGACCGAGCATGTTCACTTATACAGTATCGGATCTGTCCGTTTACCAACACGCATTATGCAACGTACAACCTAGTCCACATCCATTGCAAATTTTTATAAACTCTATCTGGTGTCTTCTTAAAGTCATAGTGGAATATGTAATTTTCCTTACGTGGAGAGCATGTGCCTTGTAGACTAAAATCGCCAAACGCTAATGCAACGGGAATCGGAAAACCTCTTTAAAACCTAAAAACATTCCTTATTTGAGTGCAAAGTGTAAATAAAACGTAATTTGTTTACCAAAAGGATAAAATAAAGCATATTTTCTATAAATATATTAAATTAAATATCTAAACCCATCGAAAATCAATCTGAAAAATGCAGGCAACTTAAGTAGTTATTTTTTGCCGGGTGTGGTTCCTACACGAGGTCGAAAAGAAGTGCATGCAAAAGACGGCCTCCGCACGATATTAAATATTACAACCCCACCTACGTAACCCTTCTGAATTGATTACACATTTTAGAATTCTGACCAACACTTCATGAGATCGGCAACTCACTATATTTGTCGAAATGTGGAGGTCGTTGTTTAGTTTTGCTGATGCACGCAGTCATTTCATGAATAAGAATTTTTTTTATCAGGCTTTTAAAGTGTGTTTTGTGTGTTATTCTGTCAGTCATCCACCTTTGATGGTGAATTTGTAGCCTCTGCCAAATCCTTGGGGTTGAGAATTACTATTCGACAAGGATTTGTTTTATGGCCGGGATAACTTTATCCGGGGGGGGATTGTGCTGAAATAAAATAACTCGCGATATTTATTTGTACTTGCTAGATAAAGGAAAAAAGACTTCGCAATGGCTGTTGTGTGAGGTTGGTTAAGATGCTTTATAATAGTCACTGACAATGCCTGCAAAGGGACATTTAATTCACCTACTATTTCTCTTAAATGGTAAAAATTGTGTCCCCTTTTAATTGGTGACAATATGGAGCACACAAAAATGGGTAATACCACAAAGTACTTGGATGTTCAGCTCTTTTACTAAAAAATCTCCCCGAAGTAAGTAAGCCCAGTCATAGACCATACCCTTGCTGACCATTATGACAGCACTTAGACTGACGGCTGCTAAGCTTCCTCACCTAGTACCCTGGTGGTTGTTAATTGTTAAGTAAATTTAGATAATTGTTAGTGGTCGATAAAGCGCTTTAATTATTAAGCCTCAATAACTCGCGGTAGTATTTAGTTGGGAAACTACTGCTAAGGTATATTATTCCCTAGCAGTTATTTTATTGCTGATGGATATTTAAATCGGTAGAGACTGTACACCAATAGACGGGGTTTTCTTGCGGTGAGGTTTATGCTTACCTTGTTGTATGTTCATCAACTGCGATTCCATTCCTACGGTTATACGAAAAACTGCACAAAGTCAGCATCAAGTTTTGTTTACTTTTGACATAGGTTCGAAAAGCCGCTGGGCGCTGACGTTAATCCTAAGGGCATTTTCGTTGGCTACCTGTCTGAGACGACAGAGGACTGTGATTTACATGAATATTTCTCGAAATTCGGCATTATCACCGAAGTCATCGTCCTCAAGGGCAAAAGGAGCGGGGATCCCCGCCGCAATGGCTTCGTAACCTTCCGGGACACAGATGCGGTGAAGATGGTGTTCGATGCTCGGCCACACCTGTTGAATGGCAAACACATTGGCGTTTTTCCAGCATGGAGTCGGAAGTCCGGTCATTTCGTGTAAGTTTTGGTTTCACAGAAATTAATATTTGCCTTTTAGGCGCAAATCTGTTTCACCGAAAGAAAACATGCGATCAGGGAATGTCCGGACTAGTCGTGAGGCCGTCTTCAGAGACCTGTAGGGGGTGAACGGGAAGAGTGCCTCCTTGGTTTGGCGCTTAGCTGTGCCTACTGGTCGCGTGAGTGTAGCGCAGTTGTTATGAGGTAGCTGTCAGAGGCTCTGATCCCCTGAGCTCTCACCCCATTATATTGGCGGTCGGAATTGTATTCCACAGTGCCCTATTTGTGGCCATGTCACAGGATGTGAATAGTGACTTGGTCGCATCTCCCGACGGCCCGGACCTCGCTGACTTCCGCGATGTTAGAGTCCTTATCGACAGCAGAACAGTTGCATCGACGGCGTTGACTACCAACGAGTGCAGATAAAGTATTAGCTACTAAGCGTACACGCGGGATTTTCTATCCAATGCCTGATTCCATCTGGGGCTCCCAGGATCTTTCACCTGCACGGAAACAGGCCTTAGGGAACTGCATTGGTTGCGGTACATTTGCCTCAAGTGGTAGCTTCGACTGGCTTTCGGTTGAAGTCCACTGCGGTCAGGTACGTCTTGTAAATTTTGTAGATGGTAGTGCTTTTTTCTACAGGGCATTCGAGCTTTCGAGGAGATTTTGTAGGGTTGGTAGCCTGGTCTACGTACATGCACGCTGGTTGGTTACTATGGCCAACCCCCATTTTAACCGACCTGTGGATTTGTGCTGCATGTCTTGTAATCATAAAGTACGTACCATGAAGTCATAGGGTCACGCTGGGCTAACTGTTTATCGTCTACAGTTGGCCTTGGCTCCGAGGACACATCTACCCTCTCCGCATGCGCCAGTTGTGAAGAACCTGTTGGAGAATGCTTTATACTTTAAAAAAATCGTTCAAGTAGCGTCGTATTGCTCAAACGTATCTTGAACAAACTCACGTTAAGTGCTACGGTATTGCAGGCTATCCGTAGCTCGCGACTATGCTGAGGCACTTCTGTGTCAACATAGGATTCGTTTTTTCAAACGTTTATGTAAATTTGACCGTTCGTCACAATCACGATTTTCAAAAAGGTCACTTGCTAAAGTGGTTGTGGAGGAAGGACGTTCCTCGTGATAGTTGGATTATTTTTCTATTGATGAAGTCCTACGTAATTGCGAATTGCTACTGACAAACACTGGACTGGGCGGTGATTTCCACAAGCCGGCGACGCGCCAGTGCTTCTGACCCATAAATATGGCTGTTGTATCCAGCTGGCTAACGCTTGGAATTATCCACGCCCTCCTCGCAAGTGCTTCCACATTTGGCCGCTGTTAACATTCCGCTTTCCCCTTTTTGTAATCGTTTTTTGAGCGTGATCGGGGTTCTTCACGTGCAGATGATGTCCCCACCTCCCTTAAATAGAACAGAAGTCGGCGGGTATCCTTTCAAGTGCGCTGGGGTGGACTATTTTGTTTCGTTGATGGTCAAACTTGGACGACCTTCTGAGAAACGCTGCGGTTGTGTGTTTAGCTGCTTACAGACAAGAGCCGTTCATCTTGAGATAGCCGCCAGCCTGACCACGAATTCTTTCGTTCAGTGTCTGATGAGACTCATAAGAAGACGCGGACGTCCCGTTGACATCTACAGCGACAAAGGAACCAATTTTGTTGGAGCAGTAGCGGGACTCCGAAAGGACTTACACAATTTGGATTAACATAGTGTCGGGCCAACTGCTAACTCAAGAGATACAGTGACATTTAACCGACCCACTGCCAGTCATCGGGGAGGCATCTGGGAACGCATGGTCAGGTCTCTACGACGGATTCTTCTTGCTCTCTGTAAGGAGCAGTCTCCAACTTACGAACAGCTCGGCACCCTCTTCGTGCAGGCTGAATGTATATTAAATAATTGATCGCTAGTCCCGCTAACATCAGACAGCAACGACTTGGAACCGCTTACTCCGAATAGCTTATTGTTAATGAAGAACTGTCCATTGCTGCCTTGCAGTGACGAATTGGTAGCACGGTACCGCGTTGGATGGAAACAAGTACACTACCTCGCTTGCGTGTTCTGGAGACGATGGGTAAAAGAATATCTCCCAAGTCTGCAGAAAAGGACAAAATGGACAAGAGAAGCCGCGAAACTGAAACCAGGTGATGTTTTAGTTTCTGGGGAGCGCACACCCCGTGAGAATTGGCTTTTGGGAGTAACAGATACGTACGAAAAGATTCGCGACAGCCTCCTTAGGACGGTATACATTAGAACGGCAGGCGGTCTCTAAAAAAGGGATGTTAGAAAGATTTGTCTACTTGAGGGCGAGAGCAGCCGTAAACCTCCAAAACCGTAAGTTGTTCTCAAGAGTTGGACGTAGAGAATTCGCGTGCGGTGTTCTATCCAGCTGGTCAACGCTTGGAATTCTCCACGCCCTCCTCGCAAGTGCTTCGACACTTGACCCCTATTGACATTCCCCTTCCCCCTTCTTTGTAACCTCTTTGGAGCGTGAGCGGCGTTCTTTTAATCAACTAGTTTTTGTATTCTGATCTTGACCTGGGGAGTCGATTTGCTCGAACAGTGACAAAAGTATTCTTTGTCTAGGATATCCATTGTTGAGGTTTGTACGTTTTTTATTATCACCTTATTACCATTTATTATTACCTTATTCTATCAATAGTACCTTATATACACCTATTTTAATGTCCTCAGCGGAATTATCAAGTGCACCGAGCTGTCACTGCGAGTCCACTGACTAGTAGTGTCTGCGATGTGTTAGAGATCAATCCCATGCGACTTCAGCATTCTACGGTTCTGTGCTTTTCGAAGACGACACAGCATCCCAAGTTGATTTGCATGTAGGCAACTTCTTGGCAAACTGTTTACGATCACCCCCCTGACTTCACAAAAGTTTGACATTCTAGACACCTTAAATATTGTGGAGTGACTGGAACATTTGATGAAATTGTGAAATCGCGTATATTTCAGTTTGCGTCTCAGTGAGTTTACTAAGGTTATCGGTAAATGCAGCTGAAATTTAAGAAGCTATTTCTCGACTCGTTGTCGTCGCCGACAGATTTCCACACCTACAGCTAATTGTGCTCGTCATAATGTTGCCACGCGCGTGCATTCCAGAGACAGGTTCCAAGCCCAAACCAAGTCGGTCGTATTACGTCGTCCCAAACGTTACTCCTCTGTTACCTAGGAATTCTCAGTTTTCAAAAGAGAACTTTAAACCAAGGTGCGACGTCTTTCACGCAGGTGGAACTTTAGGGGTTAGTCACATGTCCTTTGAACCACCTTTGGGAATCCTTTTGAAAAGCAGTAGGGTTAGTCTTATATCATATTTAGCATCGGAGAAAATGTTGCTCTGTTAATGAGAATAATAAGTTAGCTAGTGTCCTGAGGAAGTATTCCCACGCCAAAGTTGTGAGCTGGCCTGTGAACCTAGTACTTAGGAAAGGACAAATTGTATGCTTTCGGCCAGTGTTTCGGTTATCATCTTGCGGTCATTATATTATGGTGGTGTGGGGTTGAGATGATAACGGGGGGGGGGGATTCAGGGCGGATCCACACAGATTTTTTGAGAACTTCAGAGAAATGAAATGTATCTATTTAATTAATATTTTTTTCTAACTTCACAGACCTCAAACCCAAACCAGCATGTCAACCGAAAGTGCCTCCGCATCAGCCCTCAACAAGAGGACCATATTTGTCGGTCGCCTAAAGCCAACGACCACAGCAGCTGATCTTGAAACCTACTTTTCCAAATTTGGCAGCGTCTCGAGGGCCAAAGTAGCGACTCATTTGTACAGTAGCCAGTGTCGCGGCTTCGGTTATGTCGAGTTCTCGGACAGGAAGGCCTTTGAGGGTGGTGTTCTGGAAGCCTGTCACTTTCTAAACGGCTCTCGACTAAAAGTCGAGCTTTACGAACGGCGGACTTCATCTAATTCAGATTCTGACCATACGTGATGTCGAATTTTCGTCAACCCCAATATTTGGCTTCATTTTTGGTCGTCTGCTTTTACTGTTAACTGACCACC